ACTTTGTTTTCCAATCTTTTCCTTTCTCTCTCTCCATCCTCCCAGCCCTTTAGTCATAATTTCACCTGCCCTCTTAATTTTTCTTCACCTGACCTTTAGGAGGACAAAGCATAGAGGAGAAGGCAGAGGTATTGAAAGAGGGTGAGGAGAGACCATGGGTGGGGACTGGATGGGGGAAATGTTGGTTGTGGTTTGGGCTTTTTATTTAAAGCCTAAAAACTCATTTTCTTTCCATTTTCAACATAACCGTAGTTATCTCTGCTCTTGAGTCCTTAATTTGCTCATGGTCCCCTTCCCTGCATACACACATCGCGGAGCCAACACATGCAGCTGGCTGTTCCCCTTCCTATGCCCTGCCCTGCCTTGTCTCCTTGGGCAGCTCTTCTTGTAGAGGACAATCTGTCCCATAGCATATCCTGCACGATGTCTCTTGCTCTTGCTTGTTCAGTAGGCACTGTGCTAAGTGATGATAAAGTTTGGAGTCTGCTCTTCAGTGCGTCACCTTGAAAATTGTCATCAAGCAAGCTTTTCTGTGGGCCTGGCTTCCTATGGGTTTGTCCTACGCTGCTGACACCCCAGAAAGATGACAATCGGTTTTCTCCTTGTGACCATTTCACTGCTGGTACTCTCCAGTCGTCTTCTTCATATCCTCCACTCCTTCCCTTGTGTCCTCCAGACATCTCCACCTTCTCATCCCCCTGGAATACTGTCAGATCCTTCTGGTATCCTCTACCTGTTTGGCTTGGCGTGCAGCCTTGTGTGGCTGTGCCTGGCTAGGAGCTTTGTCTGTGCTGGCTGGGATTTGGAGATTAAAGAAGGCAGATGGCTCCTGTGCTCATTCTGAAGCGTTTCCAGCAATGTCACTCTAATTTGAGACTTGCTCTACCCTGCTGTTGATTTTTCCTGAAAGATATATGGACTTGCCTCTTTGAGTCTTCTGTTCTTCTGTCGGATTTGGTTGAAACTGGCTGGTGATTCAGAAGATATCAGGGCAATCTCAGGAGGTCAGATGGGGACAGGATTATCTTTAGTCTCATTTCCATGGGAAACTGGGTTAACCAGAAGTGAAAGCCACAGAAAGGTGGCAAAGGAAGTATCATTTTATTCTTGCCTGTGGGAGGAATGATACAGGGCACTGCGATTGTTAGGCTCCTTCGCTCTGTCCTTGCAAGATTTGCTAAATACGAGCGCTGAAACTACCAGCTTGCTGGTGTTTAGCTTTGATTTAAGTTCAAGCTGAACGCTGCTCACTGGTTGTCAAGTTTCGGAAAGGTGATGCATGTGAGCTGTTGAATCCTTTCTGAACTATATATGAAAATGACTTGGACATTATCTTGTATACAGAGGGCAAAAAGAAAGAAGTAGAATCCTGGATGCACAGATCTTCTTTCCATTGGGTTCTTGGCATGCAAGTCTCCCGTATTTGGCCCTGGCTGTACCGTTGTCCTCCAGCATATAACAGAAAAATGGCTTTGCAACATGAGAATTTGTTAAATGCCATAAGCTTAGCTCTGGAAATTTGATTTTTTTAAATTTCGTTTTACAGTGCTGAATGTTCTTGAGTTATGAACTGGAGGTGAGGGGAAGAATTGAAAAGGTACATCGAAAGAGGTAGTGCTCTCCCAATATTCAAGCCTGAGAAAAGTGCGTGTTGGTAGGAAACACTCCAGCATCCTCCTTTGTCTTGTGTGTGGTTCTGACCCATTGCTCACAACTGCACGGTGCGGAGGATGCAAAGTGGCTGCCGAACAAGGAGTTTGTTGCTTTGACAGCCTCCTCTTATGTGTAGGTTTGAACGGTCCGTGTTTCTGGAAGAGCCTGCTAGACCATCAGGCAGTCAGCTTGCCTTGGCAGTTCAACATTACTGATGGACTGCTTTAAGCAGAAATGAGCCCTGTGGTTGAAAAGAAGAACACCGAGCCAGAAAAACAATTAATTTTTAAAATATTTGTACCCCGTTCCCTGGGAGAAATTTGTTCTTATCTTTGGCTTTCTCCTTCCTTTTGGAAGGTGTTGCCATTGTGGCTATTAGGAAGGTCCTTACTAGGAGTGAGGTTATCCAGTTATGACAACTTGATTTGAGGACATGCTTTTCATTAATAGTTTACTGCTTGCCTGTAGCCAAGGGGCATGCCTCGGCTGGATAATTGGATTTGGAAGGCTAGTGTTTGTAGCAATTGTGACACTTCTTGCTGCGAAGCCAATTTCTGCAGCGATGCAGCTGATACAACATCGGGGCAATCTGTTACAGCGCCTTTGTTCCATGGATGTCTGACTGGTGTGAAAAATAACCACAGCAAGAGACTTCCCTCAAGAGCATGCCTACTTCAAGCACAAGGAAGCGAAATCAAGACCTTGTTCTGTATCTATTCAAAATGTTTTGGGGAAAAACTGACAGAAGTGAAGCTCTACAAAGTCTTTAGCAGCTTATACAGATGTACCGTGCGTATTCGTTTCTTGAGATCCTTTATAACGTTCAGAAGGCTGTTTAGCTGCGACCTGGAACCCTTCGTTCCTCATTTCTCTTCTTATTAAATGAAAAAATGAGAAGTTGGCAGTAGGTTTTTACCCAGTGTATCTTGTTTACTGGCCATACATTCCTTGCAGGTACCTTTTGTGACGCTTCAGTCTGTGTTTAAATGTGTCAAGCAATCCAAGTCGTCTTCATGTCTTTTCAAAAATGGGCTCAAATTACTTTAGTACTTTCTAGATGCTCAATTATTTTATCCTAGTTCCTGATTCTTTCAAATTCGTACAGTTTTTGAATTTGATATGCCCTCAGACATGGAAATGCTGGGTTTAAATCAGTGTTACACACTTGGGGTGGAATCCAGGCCCTGTGCGAGTCGGTTTTAGCTTGTGACTTCAGGAAGCCCTGAGCTTCTCAGGAGCTCTGATGCCGTTTATATGGCAATGTTCTCGTATCTCTTTGCGATATGCAGGTTATGTAGAACTAAAACTAAATTATAACTCGAGTGTGCTAAAAGTGACTACTAAGAACAGCATATGTGATGCAGAGGATGCTGCTTTCCCTCAATCTGTCTAACAATTTCAAAGAATAAATAAGGACAGTGTTATATATTATTTTATATGCATGCAGTGTTGAGATTTTCAGTACCAGTCCAGTGTTCCTCATTTAACTCATATTTCGTCTTCCTGCCGGTTTCATTTGTCTGGTCAGTACAGCAGTGCTGGTTTTCTGCCACGGTTACAGGGACTGCTTTTGGTTCTTCCTGCTCTTACCTTCCCCTTCGCTGTCCCTGTCCTGCCTCGCTTCCCCAGCTCTTCCCTTTGACCGCTGAAATAGTCTCTATTCCCACACCTTCCTTAGGAGAGCGGCTCCTGGCAGGGGCTGGGCTCTGATGAGGAGCACGTTGCCTTCGATCACTTTGCATGTGTTGAGTTGTTCCCCTGGTTTCTTGCTTTGCTTCATTTTCCTACGCTTTGCCATCCTGGGATCATTTCTCTCCTCCTCTTTCTACCAACAATATACAACGTACAGTATAGAAGTGAGCTGGGCTCCATCTGCTTCTCAGCCGTGTGGGACTTAGCAGCTGCAGTTTGGCCTTCACCGTGATCCACAGGATGGCATAGGGTTTAGGGTGATTTCGTAGTGTTTCAAGGACCGGTTTCTGTCTTGGAATAAAATGTTGGAGGTTGTAGGCTTCCACGGTGAAATACAAGTTGAGGAATGGATTGGCTCAACCTTACCTCGGATGTTTGGACAGCGTTGCATAGGGTGCTGACTCTGTTCTGGTGTGCTAGAGCAGAAATGTACTTTATGGAGCATCAAACGCACCAGAGAAGTGGTGGGTGCTCAAGCATCTGCCCGGGCTCTGCCAGAGCTACGTGGGCCGTGTCTGTCGTGAACGGGAGATATCCCATGCGAGGACAGTGAGGCCAAAGGAGAAAGAGGAGGTGTTACTCTGACAGAGGTTAAAAGAAGAGAGTCCTCTGCTTTTGAGGGGTTCGAGACCCATGATCTCTATTTTCCTCTTTGAATTTTGAGTGTATAAAGAAGAGCAGCCCCTCACATCTGCTGTACTGCTCACTACATATAGCTTTTTTCAGCCACATATCGGGATGATCAGTAAAGCTGTCAAGAGAACCTTTGACATCGGCTTCATAAAGCGAATGTCATGTTGGAAATTGCCTCAGGTAATTAATTAATTCTTCTGTAAATAGAAGGCTTGATATGCATCAATGGTGCTATGGGATGTTTCTCAAGAGGGAAATAAACTCTTGAGCAGGGCCCGTAGCGAGCAGTGAAGCACTCTTCCTATGCAGGAGGCTCATTATCCTTCCAGTTTAATTCTAGAAGGGAACAAAAATACGATCTTCATCTTGGTGGATTATATTAGAGGGAGGAAAGTACAGCTGTTGACGAATCCCTCAGGGACCTGCATGTCAGCTTGAGAGCGTTCAGGTGAATACACATTTCTCTGGTTACAGGATAGAAACGGCCTGACCTGCCTAGCCCAGCGGAGTGTTGCCCTGCTTCGGGGTGCATGGGGTCTTCGAGTTAGGAGTTGGTGGCAATGTATGGTCACATCAGTGGTCTCCTTGCCCCAGGTCCTGGAGTGCCTCTTTGCATGGGGTGTCGGAAGGAGAAGTCCAGAACCTGGTGTGTTTTCTACCTGTGGTGCTTTCAAGGCACAAATAAGACTCTCGGCGAAGCTGGCCTCCCGTCCGGCAAGTTGGGAGGATATCATTTGTTTTGCATATTCACTTGCTCTTCAGCGCACGGCCAGAATAGCTATTCCTAAATACTATTTTCAAATCCATCTTTTTTTTCAATCGGAGTTAAAACTGTTTCTTTATACACTGGTAAACATGGTGGTTTTTCAGTGGTGTTTTGATTGTATTTGATTGGCACAGAGAAGTCACTTCCTTAGAATAAAACTAATATATTTATAGATTTCAGCAGTATAGGAGTATGGAAAGGAAAAAAAAAAAATCCTGCTTTTTATTGCTAAAACTATTTCTCCACTGGCTCTTAGGTTTGGAGGGGCACTTTGGCTCGCCTTCGCTATAAGAGGACAAAAGCTGCCCTCACGATACTCAAGTATTACCGCCGCTACAAAGTGAAGGCCTACATCCATGAGGTTGCCCGACGCTTTCACAATGTGAGGCTAATGAAGGATTATGGCAAGCACGTGCAATGGCCCACTCCTCCAAAAGTGCTGCGCCGGTTTGAAGAGGCACTCCAGACCATTTACCACAGGTACAAAGAAAACCTCTGGTCTTTTCAGTCTAACCTAGAGGAGTGAACAGCTACTGCTTGTGCCATAAAAGTTGAAAAAAATGACTGAAGAACATTAGCTGGACGTCATAGATGAAGATGTCAGTGGCTTTTGGTACCCTTAACCAGGCAAATAATTATTCTGTTTCAAAGATTCAGTCAGGATGGACATTGTATTTCCTTCCTTGGCCCTTTTCTGGTTGGTTTTAAAAGGAAAGGGCAGCTGCTGTTCGATGAGGGAGAAAAGAAAAGGAATCTTCTCGGCTTCCTCAAGACTTCTTCTAGTAAACCAGTATTTTCCTGCAGTAGAATAAGCAACGTTCCACTGTTCACCCATATTCTATGTGCCGAAGAGGTATTTTAGACCTCTGTTACAACCTCCTATCATCTAAAAACTAGTGAGTTTTTTCTCGGGGAAGTTATAGGCAAAGTAGTTACAATTCCAGTTTGAAAAGTGATGACTTCTGAAAGTTGCTGAACAAGAGAAATGTTGGCTGAATGGGGCCTCTGGAGATCTCCAGTCCAGCCATCTGCTTGAAGAGGGATATCCACCAGCACTAGATCAAATCAGCCTTGCTTTTTTCCCCAGCTGTCTCTTGAAAGCCATCCACAGCCTATCTGGGCAGAGAGTCCTGCTTTCAGAATAGGCTCAATTATCATAACTACAAAATTTTAGTTGCAAAAAGACTTTTCATAACATTAATCCTGGAGACCTGGTGTTGCTGCTGAAGGCTGGAGGGTGGCATGGAGTAATGGATGGGCTACCCTGCCCTGTTCCTTGTTACAGTTGGTTAGGTTTCAATTGTAGGGCCAAATTCAGCTATTAAAGGAGAATGGTGGTGTAAATGAGCCAAAAAATGGGCTTGCAAAAACTTTATTGCAAACAGATGTGCCAGTAGTTGACTTCTAGGATATCAGAGATGATATGTGACTTCAAAATGATAACTGACACTTCCAGCTTTATGAATGCAATGGAAGGACTTCTTTTTGCCTTGACATTTATAGTCTAGGGGTGTCCTTGTTGCGCTAATCTGGCAGAAGCCATCCTCATAGCGTGTGGTACAGACGGTGGAACTGATTCAGGTGTTTTGTGGCAGGTGGAGAGCAGGTGAACTCCTCCGGAGCGTCCCACCAGAAGTCCTACCTCAACTGAGGGCCAAGGTTGCTGCCATGGAAGTGCTGAAGGGTCACAGAGCTGATATTGGCCTACAAAGAGCATGGGAGGGGAATTACATCACCCTGGTGAGTACAAGTGAAGTGATCAATGCGATAGCTGGGGTGTAGGATGCTAAAAGGGTGGAAATTTGAAAAAGTGATGATTGGCTTCTTGGGAGGGAGAAGTACTTTGAAATTTCCTCTGTAAATGGGTTTATATAGTTTCACAATCTTTGACTTCTGCTGCACTAGGAGTGATTTTTCTGAATGCTAAGCCTGGCTTGAGCATCACAAGCAGCATTAAAAGATAATGAGTAGTGCCAGCTGGCTTTTCAAATGGCCAAAGCTAGGAAAGAAGTCAATGTAAAACTAAAATTCTAGATATAATGGCATGTTAAGAAATAGCATAAGATGAAAAGGAGCAAAGTGCTCTCTGGGCAAGTCGCATTGCTTCCTTTTACTCTGTCCTTCCCTAAAGCATTTTGTTTTGTTAAAGTGGTGGGGTTTTTTTCCGAAAACACATAAAACTCTAGATGCTCTGCCGCTCTTTGACGAGACAGGGACTGGAGGAAACCTTCAGACGAGCTGATGCAGCTGGCCAGCCATGACATAATGCAATTACTTTCTTCAGTAAAGCAAGAAGTGTTATGTGCCTGTCTTTGCTCTTTCAGAAACCAGATAACCCTCAGACCACGGGCTCTTTCGTCCCTGTTGCCAATGAGCTGAAACGGAAAGACAAGTACATGAACGTTCTCTTCTCCTGTCACGTCCGCAAGGTAACCAGCATGTGCATGGTCTGCAGACACACGGGCTGGGTGGGGAAACTTCTTGTGGTCAAGGTGAAACCTTGGGAAGCCAAAGGCGAGGAGGTAATCCTGGAGATACTTTAACAGGCGGCAGTTTAAAGCAGTCTGGTTTCAGGGAACAGTATCAGTGATTTTTTTGATGGATGTGTACCTTTGAACCTATTGCATCAAAGGGTGCTTGGTTTGAGTGGCTTCTGTGGCCTCTTTGTGTCGGAGGCATGGACAAATTCACTTGATTCTGTGTTGGGTCTGACTTTTTTCATAGCACAATGGGGTTTTTTTTGTAAATTGGTTGGAAGGTTTAAAAAACGAATTAGAAAAATGTGCTTGCTTGCATAATTTTTTATGGGTAGTTCGTAATGATCTAAATGATGCTGATTTTAAATGTCTGTCAGGAAAGGATATTTTGAATTCTACAAAACCAACGGACAAAAACAATTTCAATGGCAGGCCGGGGCTGCTGGTGTTCAAATGTTTTTAAGAAACAGTATCTTCTTTTTATTTCTAAAAATGTGCTGGTGCAGTTGGTGCCCACTTGCCAGAAGTGGAGCATGTGCATGATTATTGTTTATGATTCTACGAATATTATATTTAACAGTAACAACAAAATTCATTTTGCAGCATAAAATCTCACTTTGTAACAGAACTTCATTGCTAGTGGTAGTGAGTTATATTACTTATTCAACAGTGATTTGTGTATATAGAAATAGAAATCTCTTCTTGCTTTCCAAACAAAAATATTTCAGTGAAGTATTCTGTTGCTTTTAACATCTTCTCTTTTAAGAGCGTGGTTCGCTAGTTGAATGAGCAGTTTGAGTGAATATTGGTTTATATTGTTAGGATTAAAGGAAGATTGCGTGAGTCTGAATCCAAATCTCCTCCTTACAGTCTTGCAGCAGTTTGACTAAAAGCTCCGACACAGGAGAATTTCCCCCTGGCTTTTTTCACTTTAGGCTGAAACCAAACTAATTCCTCTTCTAATTCATTTAATGAGGTAGTTCCAAATTGTTGCTGTTTCTAGTTAAACTGGAATAATTGTAAAAATACAATATTCAGTTCTTAATGATGTGATTATAGGAATTGTTGTTTTGAATAGGAATCGAATGGCGGTGAGGGGAATTACTCAGGGTGTGTATGTATGATATATGTATACCTGGTGTGGGAGTTTAATTTTGCTCACTGTTACACAACTTTTAAGCTTTTAAGTCCTTATGTTTCTCTCGCTTGCTCCTGATTCAGCTCTAAAGGACAATCTCCCGTGCAAGCATAGGGGAGAGCAGGTTTTGGAAGCACAGATCCATACCTTATCCTGTTCAGTAATTGCAAACACAGAGCTCCTGCCTTTAGGCAAGTGTCTGAGCAGTTCTTTTTTGTTTGTGGTGTATGAAGAAATCCTTGAGCAGGCGAACAGACCTTGTTTCTATACATCCTGTTACTGGATTTACTTACTGGGAAAATCCATTTTCTGCTGGGGTTTGTTACATTGGTGTCCCAGCACTTCAATAATAAAAGCAGTCTGGGGATGGAATAGGTGTTACCTATGAGAAAATGGATTTCTTCCTGAGCCTGAAAGGTTACTTTCAGTCCTTTCAGGGATGAAGAAAGCTTTAGCTTACCGTGGGTGCTTAAAAAAAAAAGTAGCTCAGTTGAAGTCGGAAAATACTGCAGAGACTGTGAGGTTATAGACTTGCAGTCTTGTGGTTTTTAAATGATCTTGTAACTTTTTTGATCTTTTTAAAGGTTAAAATGTTGGTCACTTTCTTCTATCAGAGAGGTCAGGCTTAATCCTCCACTTGTCTGCTTAGTTAGGGATACCTGTGCGTGGCTTTTGAAATCATCGGTAAAGGAAGCACATGTAGGCACAGCGACAGCGGGGCTAAGGTAAGACAAGCTGATACACAAAGCCATGGGTGATGGGTCAGCTGGCATGGGGGAAACTGCTACTCATCCACAGCCTGGCTGTGCCCAGGTCTTTGAAGTCATTAATACTTTTTCTGGTCTTCATTCTTAAGGATCTGTGTTTTCTGGACAGAAAAATGTAGCTAAATTTAGTGAAAACACAGCATCACCTTTAGGAAAATGATGGCCTTAAAGAAGCAAATAGGAGCACGTCTCCTCCAACAAGTGGGTAAAACCATTTCAGCATTGCCATTGAGGACAAGAAAGCAACTTTGTAGGATCAACAATGTGTGTAAACCTGGCAATTTCAGTACATCTCCATGTTTAAACTCAAAAGCAAATGACCCCTTGCAAATCCATACCTGGATGTAATATCTCTGAGTGAACCATTTGTATTCCTTCTTGTATGGACAAGAAATGTCCAGGCAAGCCTGAAGTGAACAAAGGAGAGAAGGCAAACAATCCTGAGCTTCAAAAGCTAACAAGACAAAGATTTGACATTTCAAGATTTAGCATATCGCTTTTCAACCAATGCACTCCTTTAGGTAATCTATTATGCCTTAAATTTGAACGTCGGATTTGGAGACTAAGCAACAGTGCAAACCGTTGTAAAGCCTGTAAGCGACGCCGTGCTTCGACTACAAGAGCACAGCCTTTACCCTGAAAACAGCATTAGCCTTCTTTTACTCAAACCAGTTTATATCCTAAGCTGTCCTTTTAAAACAAAGGTATTTCTCTTGTCAAAAATACAAGCTGTAGCATTCTGCCTCTTACCCAAAAAGAAATGGCAATCTGAGGGTCAGCCTTCAGTGCTATGCAGCAGGGGGAATTTCTTCTGATTGCTACATTCTTTCCTTTTCTTTTTAAAAAAAAAAAATAAATAAAATCCTAAAGTTTCTTCCTTTTAGCCTTAACCTTCTTCGACTTCCCCGTGTCATACCAAATGTTATTTGCACAAGTGTGGCACTTGGTGTTGGCACGTGCAGGCTGTCTTGGTGGTCAGAGTGTTTGAAAGGGAGCGACTTTCACTGCAGGGAGGTTTGACAAATTTCTTCTGCTAAACCTGGTTTGTTGGGGATTTGTAAATTGGCTATTTGTTTCTCAGCTGAAATTTGGTTCACGCGAAGCTTCAGCAGGGGACTGAAGAGTGGGCTATAGAAATGAAAATGTAATTCATTATCAGGTGATTTCATTGCTTCCCTTAAATGATACTCTTTAACAAAGCATCGGTCCACAGAATAAGGTTGCTCAAGTTCATTTGTGGTATATTTTCATGATTCAGCTTATTTGAGGATTCTTGAGCAAAAAATGTGCTCTTACTGCTGGTCCCTTAGGCAGGCAGGAAGGTGTTGCTGGTAACGAGAGAGCACTTCAGTAAGTTCAGGCGAATGTTTTATTTCTGGAGCAGCATCAGACTTCCTTTGTGGCTTTCAGTAAGGTACCAAATCATCACACCACACGTGAAGTAGTTCTTGTATGTCAACCAGCAACGTTAGGTGTCTGCTCTTTAAGATTTTCAGATAATTGCAGTCTAATACGCTTCTTTCTTTGAAAAGAAAAGACATTAAAAGCATAAGTACTGGGCAATTTGAATAGACACAAGTTAAGCCTGCAGTTCATGTTTATGTATAGAACATAACTTATGACCTGCAAGATATTTGTTAACCATTAAATTCTTTGAGACAGATTTATTTTTTTCAGCTGATGATTGACGTTGTTCTAGTGAAGTCAAGGAAGTAATACTGACTCTTTGCCAGCCAGGGAACTGCTCCTGAAGTGTTGATAACTGCCAGTAAAGTTTGCTTTAGCTGGAGTGCATGAGGTCTTAATTTCAACAGCTTGAAATGAATAATAACGGGTGAATCCGTTTGGACTGAAGCTTATATAGCTCTTTTTGTAGAAGGTTTGTGAAGAGACTTTGAAGTCTCGCTGATGGGAGGTGCATGTGCTTGCTTTCTCGCAATAGGTATAGGTGGAAGCAGGTCATTTCTGCCTATGGAAAAATACATCTTTTCTGAGCATTGTGGTGCTCTTCTTTTCTTTTTTTTTTATTAATTAAAGGAAATTTTCAAGTTTTTTTGCCTTGGGAAACCAAATGCGTATTTCATGCATACCACCAGATTTTGTTGGATCACCTAGGAAACAACAGTTTCTCCTTTTTTTTTTTTAAGATCGAGCTTTTCTTCCCACTTTCTCCTTTGTCATTTGTGGCACCAAGCTCCCTTGAGAGGACCATCTCTTCCAAAGCCCAGTGCCCTACGGTGTCTAGAGGTCCCTAGCAGAGACCTGAAAAGCTTATTTAGAGGTTTTTCTGCTGTAGGCTAGACCTTCATTTTTCCCCATAAGCTAGTCAAGAAGCTAAATTAAGACAGATTCGCATTTGGATCAACAAAGATATAAATAAAAAATGCCCAGAAGGTGCAGAGAACACAATGCTAGGAAGGGCTGTTCTCTGGGAGGGTATAAGCTGTATCTGAGAACATAAGGCCTGTCTCTACTCCTACAAAATCAAAAGAATAATGGCATTTGCAATGGTGCTGGCATTTGTCTGAATCTCTTCTGTGCATGCTTCCCAATGTGACAGTTTATTTCTAAAAACACAGCATGTATTATTTACATAAATATGCCATAGATGTATGAGACACCTGAAGCAACGCGATTGCTTGGAAGGAGCTGAAAAGGACATGAGTTGTAGAGCAGTGAAAATTTGGTTCTGAGGTGAGATAAGCTGCTGGACTTCCCCTTCAGTACATCTCTTTAGCTGTTCAGCTGAATTTATTGTTCAGTGTGAACACTGATAACAGTGGGTAACCACAGGAAAGAAGTGGAATTTAAAACATGCTTGTAGAACTACAACTACTGCCTTCAGCGCTGGGGTCCTCAGCGCAAGGAGAACGTGGACCTGTTGGAGCGAGTCCAGAGGAGGCCACGAAGATGATCCGAGGGCTGGAGCACCTCTGCTGTGAGGACAGGCTGAGAGAGATGGGGTTGTTCAGCCTGGAGAAGAGAAGGCTCCAGGCAGACCTTACAGCAGCCTTCCAGTACCTAAAGCGGCCGACAAGAAAGCTGGGGAGGGACTTTTGACAAGGGCCTGGAGTGACAGGACAAGGGACAATGGCTTTGAACTGGAAGACCGAAGATTTAGATGAGAGATCAGGAAGAAATTCTTCCCGGTGAGGGTGGTGAGGCAGTGGCAGAGGTTGCCCAGAGAAGCTGTGGCTGCCCCATCCCTGGAAGTGTTCAAGACCAGG